CATCCTTCCTTCCTTCCATCCATCCTTCCTTCCTTCCTTCCTTCCATCCTTCATTATTTATCCCCTCTTTTATTTGTTCAGTCCATACCTGTTCTATTTCTTCCTGCCTTTTTTCTTCATTTGTTAACTCTTTCATACCTTTAGTTCTTCACTGCTTCTTTCCTTCCCTTGCTTATTCAGTAGTCCTTTCTGTAGAACGGCAACTCCGTAAGAGCCAATTCCATTCAAGAGTGGTTTTGACTCCATCTGCATTAGCAGCGACGGATAGCCATCCTGCTCTTCAGACTTCAGCACTCTCCGTTTCTCCTTTCCACTCTTCTTCGGTTTCTTTTATTCAAAAACAGGAAGTATACGTTAGAACTAATCGTAGTAAAGAAAGCGAGAGGATTCGCTGATTTCCAGAGAAAAATGGCTTTTCAGAAATAGGGAAAATAGATTTGAGACGAGATGACCATGCCGGAAATAACATGGAAGGGGTATTCGAACGAGACTTCATTTGTTGCAATTGCGCAAAGAGCTGACTACATTGGGCCAAAACTTTACAAATCTGCCTTTCACCGTTGCTATTTGTCATGAAAGTTGTTTGGACTTCCTTCATGAGTTCCTCTATGATCGGTGCAGCCTAAACAGTGGAACTCATCCGACGATGCACACGGTGCAATCTTTGAGCCTTTCAGCGTATACCATATCTGGCCCTAATAGGTCGGAAAAAGCGTTTGTTTCCGACCTATTAGCGCCAGATATGGTATACGCTGAAAGGCTCAAAGATCGCCCCGTGTGTATTGTCAGACGAGTTCCACCGGCATTGTTGAGGCTTCATCGATCACAAAAAAACCTATGAACTGTGTCTTCAGCAGCTTTGAATACGTTGCAGTAAATCAACGTCCATGATTTTGGGACACCCGTTATGAACATCGCATCGTATCATTTTCACGACAGCACTCATTGTGTTCAAGAACCGGATGACAGCCTACCACAAAAGGTTTTCAATTCTCATGAAGCCTTGACTAGAGACCTAGGTCTATCTATAGGGCTTGGGAAGCTATCAATAAAAATGAAATTGAAACTGCAAAATGAGTCTATTGAAAAAGTTGTGAGCGTTCAAAGTTTGCACGCTCAAGGCATGGAGAGATAGTGCCAGTCGATAAGCGCAGTTGCCGCAGTGATCACAAGGGTCACCATTGCGTAGTGGCAGTGTCTTCCTCTTCAGGTGAGCGACGAGGGTTTGCTTCCCGTTGTCGTTTTTGCTTTTGTAAAACGTGCTTCCATCCCAATGAAAGCTACTAAATCGTTTTTCTTATTAATTTGAGTCAGCGCTCTGTTTCGGCTGTCATTTGCAATCACCAATCTATCACTTATCACCGCACTTATTTGAAATTTTTTGAGGTGGAAGAGAACCCGAATCACTCAGAACAGATATGCGTGAAAAATAGAATATTGATGAAACAATCCAAGAAATGAGTGAAGCAGATATGTTGTTCACAAAATGCGAACCTATGTACATGCTGTCTCTATACAACCGTAAATAAAACACACAATCGATCCAGACCAAAAAATACACGTTTCCTCTACCCATTTTTTGGGTTGTTTCATCGATGTTGAGTTTCCTCGCGAGTCCGAGACTATTCCATTTTGGGTGTGAGTGTGTGTGTTTCGGTGTTGAAAATGAAAGAGCGTTACAAAAATGACGTGAAGAAGTTTGACGCTGTCGTTCGACGAATAACGTTTATATAAGTGCTGTGATAGGTGATAGATAGCCGGAACAAAGCACAAACTCAAATCAGTATGAGAAACTGTTTGGGAGCCTCTATTCGAAGGAGAGCACGCTTTGCAAAAGCGAAATCGACGACGGGGAGCAAACCCTCACCTTCAGAAGAATAGCACCGCCACTATGTCACGGTGACCCTTGCGGCCATTTCAGGCAGCTGCGCCTATCAACTGGCACTATCTCTCTATGCTTTAAGCATGCAAACTCTGAACGTTCACTACTTTTTTGGTAGTTTCATCGACACATTATTGTATAGCGAGGTAACGTCAAAGGACTCCATCACCCTTTTTCCCTCCAACCTGGCATCATGAAATCTCATTAGCAGCGCGTTTGTGCTGAGAAGGCGAGCCGGGAGATTTGATCAGGGCGTGCATAAATTGGTGCGATCGCACCTATTCAAGCTCGCCTCACACCCAGGCGCGAAGTGACCTCGATTAGATGCGAAGACTGCGGTAATTATGCTGCCCGCACTCGCTACTAATCGAGTTAAATTTGTCAACTTAAGAGGATAATGACGGTTACAAAAACGGACTTTCTATTAAGAAAAATGGGTTTTCCTGAAGGAAAAGCTCCAATATCGATTTCATGGGTTTCGGGAGTTCCATTTCCATGCACAGTAAATAAGTTCAATACATTTTGTGGTTAAAGTTGCTATGATATCGAAAAACAGTTCAATTTCTGAGTAATAAAAGTACCTGAAATAAAACCTAAATGTATAAGTAAAAAACTCAACTAGTTTTGTTTGTTACGAATCTGGACATCTTTATGCAAAACTCTTGCATTTGGGGGCTTGCTTCGTGCTGTTGAAGTTCATAGAACCTAGGAATGCTTGCTATATGCCGTAAAAACTGTGAAATGACATGATTGGTGAGCCGTAGAGCGTTCGGTGACCTTTCATTGAGGAGCAATACCAATATTGAACAACTATAAAGAACCGCATCGTTCCATAAAGGTTGTTCGATATCGCAAATGAGAGAAAATACCGAAAAAGAAGTAAACTGAACCGTTCTCCCCGTTTTCTGGGAACTTGAAATAGAAACATATAGAACTTGTTCATTATGCATGGGAATGAAACTCTCAATTTTTACCTGTCGTTATCCTCTTCAGTTGACTAGTTTCTTGACTATTTTGTTGACTATTTCAGTCGGTCTTTGTTGGAGTAGTGCCCAATTGCGACCGTTTAAGAATCTCGGCATGTTTCTTTCCAGTTCTTTGGTTTACTTTCAAAGCTGTGCAACCGAGACTGTAACAAGACGGCGGCGACGGAGCCTTTGAGGGGCTCTGCTAACTAATGTAGCCACATCATTTCTTTTGATGTTCACTCCGCTGAAAGAGCTTAACACCTTAGCCCCTTCAAAAATGAAATTGTGCACAGGTAGACTACCACTAATCCTTGTATTAAGTTAAATACCCATAAATTTCTTCCCTATAATTGAAGTGCGCGCATATAGAAAATTATCGTTGAATAGGATGTCTGGACTATGAACTGGCTGAAAATCTGGAAAAATCCTTGACTTTCACATGCATTGAAAATGCTCCCATGCGTGAGTTAGCAGTCTGCATATAAATTTTTTCATCAACCAGTTTAGACAAGTTTCACAGGTTACTGCTATGCCTGTCGTTCACCCCATGTTGTTTTTAGCAGATTCCAATTCGGGCAAGTAGGGTCTTTGAAGTGTTAGTATTTCTTCAAGTTGATACTATTACAGAACCTCTTGGTGAAGAAGCGTGATGGCACAGTCTATGAAGGCGACTGCTGGCCTGGCAGATCCAGCTACGTTGACTTTATAAATCCAGAGGCACGCAAATTCTGGGCCGACCAATTTGCATTTAATAAGGTAAATGCTTCCATCTAAGAGTTTGATTGGTGACGAGGTAATGCAATTTTTTTGCTCTGTACACACAAACACACATTTTCGCTTGCATGAGAAGAGTCTGCCAACTCTGAAAAAAAAAACGGCTGATGTCCTGAGCACTAATTGCTCACAGTCATGAATTCTGAACATCGCGAGTGATGTCAATTGAAGAGGTCTTTGATTTGCAATACATTATGTGTAGATCTATCAGTCCAGCCATGGAGAATGCGGGCGTCTCTGGCCGCGTGTCGGTAACAGATACTGGCAAGTCAATAGTGCCGGCTGCAACCACTTCATTTTGCTGGGGCTTAGTGGCTCGTTCACGGCTGCCCTCAGCATAACGTTTTTGGTTGTAGCAGAGTACTCGTTGTAAGTCACAGTTTACAATATAATGCAAAACCATGTTCATAAAATCCTTTCTGGTGAAACCGGAAACTGATTACGTTAAGGCCGTCGCTGCTCGGTAGAAATGGTCGAAACATTACCCTTGTTTGCCGAGAGTTCCGTAGAAAAGAGGTTGTGATATAGTATGATTACTGAATCAAGAATGTAGATAACTGTGGTATATAAGACACGCTGGTGTGTTTGTTCCCATTCTTACTCTTCTTGTTCTTCTTCACCGCTTCGACTCTTTCTACACTCGTTGCCGAACTACACGTCGTCCAACAATAAACTGTGAAGCAACGTCGGAGTACGACAGAAGCATCAAGAGGAAATATTCAGTGAACGCGTGGCAGGCAAAACAGACACTGTATCTATACATCTGGACCACCCTCACCACAAAAAAACTTCGGCACATCGGCCAGATCAGAAGAGCTACGACGTGGGTTTGCTCATTCATTGTACAAACGAAAAACAAACCGCGCTGAATATCAACTCAAGCTATTGAAACTCGGGAGAGTGCTTGCGGGTACAATTCTAAAAAGCCATAAACAATCGACTTTTGGACAGCAGGCTCGCAACAAAGTTACTTCTAGTCAAGTCACTCGCTACGTCTTTTTCAAATCATTTCAATTCATTCGAAAGCATGGCAAAACAAAGATTATATGTATGACGGTGTCGTTCAAGGCTCGCAAAGGCATTGAATGATCTGTTGAAAACCTACAACCACATAGCGAATGGTTCAGTTACAAATGATCAATGTAATCCCGAAAACCTGAAAAGCCAAATCAACAATGCACTAGTTCATATACGTGCAACTCAAACATCTTTCAGAAAAGCCTTTTTAGCATTCGCAGAAACAGATGACAAACTTCAGCATACACTTGAGAGCGAAGAAGAAGAGCGCATTCCCGACCAGATGGAGAAAGGACAGATCTTGATATCGGAATCGGAAGACTCGCAAGCCCGTCTTGAGGTAGAAAAGCAAGCACTTAAATACGGAATAGTACTTCAAAACAACTCGAGCAGAACTTCCATCCCAGAATTCGTTGGTAAATGGTGGGAGTGGCACAACATGTGGGAGTTACTCAATGCTACAGTAAATTCAACTCCTTGGTCGGATCTCCAAAAGTTTAACTACCTTCTTCAAGCCCTAGAAGGAGAAGCACGACAATCTGCCAAGAAATACCGAATAACTTCAAAAAGTTATCGTTTGGTGGTGAAACATTTGCAGGAAAAGTATGGAAATACATCTGTCTTCATCACCAACGTGCATGAACAAATGGAGTTATGCACAGCTTGAAGCACAGGTTTCAAAGATTAATGCAAACTGTTCAACCGACTGTCCTCGATCACGATATAATTGAAAAGCAAAGGAGAGAACCGCAACAGTCCATGGCTTTGGATAAGTTCAGGGATGGTACAAAAAGAAAGGCCCTCAAAAAAAGTAACTTTCCGGACAATAAGACATGAACCATGAAGAAACAAATGGACGTTTCAGACAAAGTCCTGAAACAAGAAGAGGAAATCGAACGTCACATGTCGGAAAATTTAAACCACAGAATACACAGAATAGAATGCACAAAACTCAAGCCCCCAAAAGAAAGAATTGAATATCTCTAACAAACGGAGAGATTTCTCGGATGCGGATCAAGGAACCACGCGTTCGCTGAGTGCAAGGGAGTGGGATGCATTTATTGTGGATAGCAATACCATACTTCAATATGCTTGAAAAATACAAAATCAGACTTCCTCACAACACAAGCCGATGAGAAGAATAATGTGAGAACTGAAAATTAATTGCGGAATTTTGTAACAAATGACACAATATTTGAATCCCAAATCGAAGTCGGCGCAGATGATGCTACCATCTCAGTTGTTGCGGGAAACTCAAAAGCGACAGAAGCAGGAAGCACATTTCTTCTTACAGGATCGATCAAAGTAATGAATCTAATTCGAAGAAACTGCGTAATGTGCAGGTATCACGTGATGCTGTAGCCGACCGTTCCTTCATAGACTTTGAACTTTCTAACAATTCTTGAACATAAAGCACAAGAATTCCAGCTTGCAAGACAAGGTTTATCAACAATGATACTCAAAACATTTGGAACGACAGAGCAAAAATACATTGCATGCCCATCACATCCATCAACATATGGGATGGAAAAAGTGTGCAACGCACACTTCGATGTACATACACGACACCATCGCTCTAAATGTTTCCCGTTCTGCTCCAGAGAAACGAGACATCAACTTTATCAAAAGAAAGCACATTCGCTTATGCTCATCAATCAAAAAGAGCAACATACAAGCATGCATCCTGAATTGGATGAGACCAATTGTGGAGTTCCATCCCTCCGGATTATTCCTCATTCCAACAACATTTGAATACATGATCTCAGGACAAAAATTGCCGCAGAAAAGCACGAACACAGAAGAAAGTGTTCATGTACACACTTCCAAAACAAGCGATCCAATGGATTACTGGTAACAATACTGGAACTCCGGGTCCTGCGGAAGAGAGGAGGAACTTTCCAGAACTGACCGAAAAAAAGAAAAAGGAAACACAAATGCTCAAATGCATGATAGCATCTCTTCAAACATGGAAAAATCCTTAGAAATCAAAATCACGATTGCCATCGAGAAGGAAGAGAAGGGAAAGGATTATCACGCAGGTTTGAGAAAAACGGGCTAGCACTTGGACCTGTCCTCGAAGAATGCCGTGGCTGGCAGAAAACCAAGGCGGAAGTCCTATTATACAGCATAATGTTGTCAGGAGCAACTGTCAAGCGGTACGCCCTCTGGTGTCTCAGGAAAACTTCCGCTGGGGATATCAATGAGTGATATCCCAACAGCAGCTACAGATACTTCGCCACGAGGAACCGCACCAGAGAAGAAGTTCATATTTTTACCTCGGCGTGGGAAATCCGGAAAACATGCTGAAAGAAAACCGTCGAAGAGAAGGTATAAGAAATTGGAAAAACATGGGTCAGATTATAAGCTAGTTGAAAAAAGTAAATCGGACCTGAGCCAGACGGATCAACCTCCAATGGCTGAATGAAAGCAGACACGACTTCCGACGAAGTTGGACTATATACGGCAATCAAGAGAGAGCGTGAAAGATTCTCGTCAGATAATGAAGAAAGAAAAAAGAAAAAAAAGAAAAGAAAGAGAAAAAGGTAGGAAAAACAAAAACAACATCAAATTGGAGAAAGTGAGGCAGATGAGTCAAAGTCAGGTATAAAATATAATTTACGCCCACGAAAAGAGGCTGGAAGAAATAATAGTGATCTATAGTAAAAGTGTGATTGAAAATGTAATTCCTCATGCCTCCCGTGGGAGCTTTCTGTACGAAACATCTCCATTGTTTGCAGAGAGTTCCGTAGAAGTGAGGTTGTGCTATAGTATTGTTATTGAATCAAGGTTGTAGATAACTGTGGTATATAAGACACGCTGAAAATTGTTTGTTATAATTATTAGTCTTCTTGTTCTTCTTCACCGCTTCGACTCTTTCTATACTCGTTGCCGAACTACACGTCGTCCAACAATGAATTGTGAAGCAACATCGGAGTACGACAGAAGCATCAAGAAGCAGTATCCAATAAACGTGTGACAGGAAAACAAACACTATTCTATACATCTAGACCACCCTCACCCTAAGAAATCTGCTGCATTCGTTTGTCAACTTTGCGACTTCAACTTTACTATGCAGACCAAGAGCAGGTGCGTATAAAATGACAATAATTCTTGAGAGTTCTCTGAGCGCTTCCCTTCTTTTCAGTCAGCATAGTGATCAACTATGAATGATCCATGAGCATCAAGCGTTCCTCGTTTAGCGAATCATTTCTGTTTTAGAACTTATGAAAAATGTTCGTTCTACATGTGCTACACAATAAGCAATGTCAGCTAGCAAGACGTAATTCCATCTGGACTACTGAACAGGCCCACTTCTCCGTGACCAAGAGCGTCATCAAAGGCTCTAGTGAGCTCCGATTATTATTATCGCGTGAACACCAACTTTCCTCAGTATGGACTGGTATAGTCGCGCTGTAGTCGAGTTGCAGCACATCAGCTTTTTCTACTATTTTATGAACGAAAGTGGCCGTTCAGCATTTCTGACACGTTCTCCGTGCTATCCAGAAAAAGGTATACAAAGAACACTGTAAGAAGACGGAAATCAACAGAATAGTAAGCAGGATATGATGCTGAGAAGATAAAAGCCAGAGATGGAATTGATATAGAGCGAGGGATTAAACTAATCCCGTTTTGGTGTATCTTCACGTATTCTACTTGTGATTGTAGTTGTACTGAGATTTGAATGCATTTGTGATGCTCATAGAGATACGCGGGATATCCGCACTACAAGTTTTTGTTTTCGTAAACTCAAACAAAATTTTTACCCCGTGTCACGCTCTTTTGTTGATGCGCGCGCACATGGCACTCACTCGGCCTATACAAATGTAACAAGTCTATAAAGAAATGGCCGTCATGGAAACGGTTAGTCAGATATTATGCGTGAGTTTCTACGAAGGAAAGCTCAGCAAATTCATTATTGCCATCGAGAAAGACCCATCAGAAGCAACATAATCAGAAAGAGGTCGTTCCTGCGCGGAAATACGACGCAAACATAAAGGTCTCCTCCAAGCGATCCTTTGGCCACCAAAGCCATCTCTATAAGAGAACGGTTCGTACTGCAGACACCTACATGTCACCACAGCCTGCATGGCGACACTACTGATAAGGACAAAGGTATTTCTCAAGTGAAGTGGGAAGAACGTTCAGAAGATTTTCGAGTTGCAGAACTTCGATGGAGAGAAGAGAGAGAGGAGAGAATTAATGTCGAGCCGCTCTAAGTTGAGAACCTTATTTAGTATACCTACTCTCCTAGTAGCAATGAAAGTATTTTCAGAACCTGGAGTGCTACAGTGAAACAATGGAAACACGAAACAATCATGGATCGTGGAACAATCATCAACTGAAGCAGTCACTGAAGATCAACTTCAAATTTGGGCGAAGAACAGCCACGCTTGAACGAGTATCGCAGTTTTCTACAAAGTGCAAAATGCAAAAAATCAAATCAATTCCATTCTTAGGCGCTTTCGCTTTCAAGTCCAAGAGTCAATCGAGCAAAGAATGGAAAGGCCACAAGAAAATTCGAGTACATATCATGGACCGTAGGGCACAAAACCTACCCGGAAGCCCGGAAGCCAAGTTGAACAAGCAAGCATAATTGCAATGGACAACGGTAATCCGATGGGAGAGGGAGAGAGACGAGTTTACGAGGAAGAAGAAGTTAGCAGTATCCAAGACAATGCGGAATACATGAGAAGAGTGCAAGAAGTTGGTGAGGAAGAAAAAGTTGATTTGATCTCAGGCAGAGCGGACGAGAAGACGGAGAAGGGCGAGGCCAGGTTTGAGTTCGGGAAGAAGCTCAGCGAATAGAGCAGGAAATTGGAGACTTGGAGTCAACCTTACACGAGCTAGGCATAGAGAATACATGCGATTCACGTGATTTTGCGAAGGGTGTTATGCGCAAGCAGGGAGAACTCATGATTCTTCTCCTGTGGAAGTGTCGAGGGACACTACACTGACTCAAACATATCCAGAATTCTGGAATAGGTGCTGTGTTGTGCAAACAGGAACCGCTGTGGGAATTGTTTTACAATTACGGTCAATGGACATCTTTGCAGAAAAATTATGGTTTATTTCAAAAAAGTTGGGCACCGCTCCGTTCTATGCAGGAAAGAAAGGATATACGCCGGTACGAGAAGGCTCCCACCGAAAGGAGGGCAGCAAAAACGAAGTCTGAAAAGTTGGAGCATCAGCTACAAGGATTGCTGGGAAAATAACGCATGGAATATTGATGCATGGGCTGTTTCATATAACACGTTTCGCTTACGCATCACGTGGCCGCGCCGGTAGTATTGCATCTCGAGTTGCAATCGGAGTTGGAAATTGGTTCGTTTAATAGAGCCAGCTATGATCTGTGGACACCCGCGCGAAGATCATCGCATCGACCACATAGAAAGATCATCGGTCTACTTGGCGATGGTGGGTCTCAACTCTGAATTCTGAGCCTTTGTTTGTGTTTTGTGTTTAACACACATAAGCAATTTTCAACGGATAAAGTAAGTTTTTGCAGTTCATCGGGTTTTGCTCTCAAGATTCGAAGGCACAGTTCACGATGAAAATGGTTTCTGGGTTTTCTCCCTAGGAATAACCAGTGACCCCCAAGGGTAACAGGAAAGACACTGTCATGTCTCAAAACTCAACAGATAGGGCATAGTGGGAGCCCCGTTACCAGATCGCCTGAACTTCCCGCCCCTCGATCGATGTCACGTTAGACGGGTGTCGAGGCGACACAGAATGCAATATTCGTTCTAGGACTCACACACAATGAACTGATCGCTGAATAATAAGGCGATGCCTTTCTCCTATACTTTTACTCTCTGTTATTCTTTTTGCTACTGCGATCCCTTGTTTAATTTTCTACCACAAGAGGGTAACAAAGGTGGGCTACTATTGCTGTTACTAGGAGTTTTTTGTTAACTTATGCTTATAAGTGAATGAATTTTTGCTTACCGTAGTCAGCTATTTTCACCAAGATCCACACATACGCAGTAGCACACATTGATGGCTCTTCCAAACGCCCCACTCTTCATTTTTCTGGTTTCATTCTCGTCCTGTCCCCTTTCTCACGATTTTTTGAAGCTTTTTTCACTTTGAAAACACCGATTCACGCAGTTCCTTCGCCTTCATCGCACAATTTTCCATCTTAACTTCCATTTTTCGTCATAGTCTGGATCACCCAAAATTATCGTGAACTGTGCCTTCATACAACAACGGCGTTCTTCAGAGCAAAACCCTAACTGTAACAATTACTTCATGCGTGAAAAATGCAAATGTGTGTTAAGCACAAATCATCTACAGAAATTCAGAGTTCAGCGTTCAAACGATGGGCACCATGTTTAACGGACCCCTTTCCCCTCACCCCTGGTCGAATGATGATCGTTCAATGTGGTCGATGAGATGATCCTTACGCGGGTGTCCTTAACTGGCTCTACTGAACGAACCAATTCCCAACTCGGATTGCAACTCGAGTTGCAATACTCTCGAAGCGGCCTCGTGAAGCGTAAGCGAAAATGACATATGAAACAGCTCATGCATTAGTATTCCATGCGTTATTAATCCACCGATCCTTGTAGCTGATACTCAAACTTTTCAGACTTCTTTTTTTGTTGCCGTCCTTTCGTCGGTAGTCTCCTCATACCGGCGTATTCTATATCTTCGCTTCCTTCCTGCATAGCAGAGTGGTGTCTAACTTTCGTTGAAACGAACCATAATTTTTCTGCAAAGATGTCCATTAATCATAATTTTGGGGCAATTTCCACAACGGTTCCCGTTTGCACAACATAATGCCTAGCGGGAGTGCCTTGAAATGGAATTGATGTAATTTTTTTTGCGTTTTTCGCTCTGTAGAAAACTGCGATACTCGTTCAAGCGTGGCTGTTCTTTGCCAAAATTTTAAGTAGATCTTCAATGACTACTCCAGTTGACGATTGTTTCACAAGCAACGAGTTTCTTTTGTTTCATTGTAGCACTCAAATTCCTGAAAATACTTCATTGCTACTAGGAGAGTAGGTATACTAAATAAGGTTCTCAACTTAGTGCGCCTCAACATTGATTCCGTCAACGTTCTTTCCCTGAGAGTTTCAACGATTTGAAGCTTTTCTAAGCGTTCTTTCCACTTTTCTTCACAATTACGTTCGTCCTTCTCAATTGTGCCACTGTGTAGGCTGTGGTGACACGTAGGTGTCTCCAGTTTTGAACCATCCTCTTATATAATTATGCTGGCTTCGGTAGCCGTGGGATCGCTTGGAGGAGACTTTCATGTTTGCGTCGTATATCCGCGCAGTTACGACCACTGCCGTTAATTAGTTGAAAGTGGTAGTTGGTTGCGCAGCATGTACTTTTTGTGATTGTGGTTATAGTTATTCATGCGTGTTTGCGGTGTTGCCGTCATTATTTGCAAGTTTCAGTAACATGTTCTTTCTTATGCTGTGAGAGTAGCGTTCAGCTTTACGGCTGCAGCGATATATGGCGTAATCCACAAAACGTTCGGCATTCCCGTGATATCCCACGGTCTCGGAAATATTGCTATCTTTAGCAATAAATGGAGGGCCTGCAGCTTGGTACCTTCCGTTGTTATGCGTTTTTGAACTCATATGAGTGCAGGTAGATAGTGTGTATACAATGACAGTGTGGTAGTGATAGTTGCTGCAAAAGGAGAGACCGAGCAGGTATGGCAAGTAGTTCAGTGCACCGCACGTATGAATGTATGTGGTCGCTTCAAGAAAATTGCATTAATACTCATTATTTCCTTGTGTTGTATGAAATAATGTAATAAATTGTATATGTCTCCGTGCCTGTTCCCTGTTCCTTAAGCTATTGTTTATTAACTAAAGTATCAGAATGTTAAATGGAGACCAAGGATTTTTCCGAAATATTTTCCCTATGTTAGGTTTAATACGAGTTCTGCGTATTTAAACGATTTACGGGTCCGCAGGTTGTAAGCAATTTTCTGTTTTTCCTGAACATTTGCTTTCATCGGCGTTTTCGCAAGTGATTCATGTTCTATTCAATTCTCGTCACTGTCCATGATTTCTAGTGCCACAAAAAGATTGACTGGCCTTTTCATCCGTCGCTCCGTGGCGGGTCCAGCTGAGTTCCCGAATTTGTCCATCTTTGTCGTAGCGCAAATTGATTATGCGAGCCAGTTTCCGGGTTACGTGGCAGGATCGAACCACTTAGAAACACGACCCTCCTGATGTGGGCTTTAATAGATGATGTCGTTGTTTGGATACGAATCGATTACGTGTTTCTCGTAGGCTCGTTATGTATTGTTTTTGCCAAGCATTTCAAAGTGTTTTTTACTTTACAAGAGGAGTTCAATGCCTGTTTCGCTTGTCTCTTTGTTTTATGCGTAACACCTTCTACTGATGTTTATAATCTGGGTCACTCACTGGATCTTCTTCAGAGCTCAGATGTGGCAACACGATATTCGGATTCCATTGAATAAAGTCAATTGGGCGACTGAAGCTGAAGCCGTCGCTCCAGATTTGATATGTCAGCGGTCGCTCATTCAGGCGCTTCTCGTTTTCTATTAGACAGATTTCTAAGTGGTCTAGTGATTGATGTGGGCTTTACTTTTGAGGGATTGTACCGGAGCGCAGGTCCGATGAACCTAATAAGGCGTTAACAAAACTGCCTCTGCCATGGTGCATGAGGTGTATTGCAGTACTACTCAATCTCTTGTCGCGGCGTGGATGTGGACCTTGTAAGTAGTTATCGAATTGACAACTCCCCCCCCCCCCCCCCTCCACACCGTCCGTGAACAAAGCGTCTCAGGGCATTAAGGAAGGCCGGTTACGGTGCATGTAAAAATGCATGCGCACACCTTCGACTTCGTTTCATTTTTATTTCCGATGACGTACAAGTCGAAAAAGCAGGCGTCTACGTGTTGAAAAGTATGGAATCGATTTACACGCTTCCACGGTAAACCTGTCATTTCTGAGTATGTCAGAATTACTGTCTGAGTTTAGGGGTCCAGCATTGCAATCGAACTGTCGCTTTCGTATGTTCGTTGCCCTTGCGGCCCCTGTACTTCGTTAATTATTAGTGCAGCTAGCGGGCTTCCTAGATGGTTGAATATGGAACTCTTTGCCTGTTGGTTCAATTTCATTTCAATTTCACACCCTGCCTTTTGAGCACGCGGAGGGGGTGCGATTCACGCGTGACCCCATTAGAGCTCTTCGCACACGCAGCACGCGACGCACTGCGCGGCAGATTACGTATTGTTTCGAGGCCATCGCTTCAGTACCCTTCAGTTGAAATGGTCCTAATGAGATGTGCACTAGTCCATGACTTCACCATGGAGTAGTGCAAATCTCTTGACTATGGCAATGAAGCTCCTTTGGGGCTAGGAATTCGCTTCATAAGTCAACAATTTACTCGACAAATGTTCAAAACAAGAGTAACTTCGAGAAGTTTCTATTCTCATAGACGCATTCATTTCGTGAATAGCACTACACCCCTTGAGCACCACATTCCGTTAACATTCTTGAAAAATCGCAGCGTAAACTGTACATGTTTACAGTATTTTATAGTGTTGTGCATCGCTTGATGGTTTTAGATGTTTTATGATTGGCTTCCCCCCAAGAATGCTCAGTGACTCTTCGAGATCTTTAATATTCTCAAGTTGTTGCTGATAGCATTCTGTCGATTTCCTGGCAACAGTCTTATCAACTTTTTTGAGAAGAAGCAGCACCTCCACAGCCACTCACTTAGCTTATTGGGCTGAATCGTTTTGAATCGAATAAACGAGCTACTGCATCAGATCTTATGAGTGCAGTTATTGCGTTGGTAGCGAGAGGTAGGAAGGG